AAATTGAATTTTATTTTCAGTTCCAAAACATATTTAATTAAGCAAAACAAATTCCTACATTAGTTACGCACACTGCCCTGTTCCTCCCCCCCAAAAAAGCCTCAGTTTACACCAAGTCCATCACCTCTCTATCTGGAGTTGGATAGCAAGTTTCATCATGAGGGTATGTATGTTGTCAAATGCAGTAAAATTTAAGTTCTTCGAAGGCAAGAGGTGTTTCTTTTGTTATATCCCTAGCTCCTAGCACAGGGCCCAGGATGTTTTGTTTTGCTTTTTAACTGGGCCGGTGATTTGTGCAGGGAGCTCCCAGTGAGGAACATTCTCTGCCTATGCCTATCTGCATAGCATCTGCGACTTAAAGTCGAAGACAGTGGCTTGGGGCTCTAAGAAGTTTAAGTGACTTTTCCAGGGTCACTCAAGCCACTATGTGGCAGGTCTTCTTGACTTTGAAGCTACCTCTCTAAGCATTATCTAGTGCACAGTATAAACTTAATAATTAATTGGCCCATATGCAGTTGGTGGGAATCTCAGGTGACACCTAAGGTGCCTCAACAGCAACCTAACCCTAGCTTCTGGTCTGCCTTTTCTAAGTCTGCAGAAAGGATGAAAAATACTGTTAACCAGCAAGGAAGTGCAGTTTATAATTCTTCCCAGTAGGTGGTGTCCTACTCATTTCCAGCACACAGCAGTCCTGAAGACCGACACCTTTTGACACAAAAGATTCCATGTACATCTAACTTCAAAGAGTCAAGCAAAGAAAAATCTTCTCATCATTGGATTCTGAATGAATCCAGGGCATTGTATGACTCAGGAGTACTAAAACACAGACATATCTATGGGTCACTCCCAACCCTGCTTGCCTGGAAAATTTCCTGGCTGAGTATCAACCCTCTATATTGATGTTATTACACAGAAAATAGACTTTTTGGTGACCATGTGGTTTATTAGCCATTAGTAAAATGCCGGGGAGGTTTTTAAGTGCTTGCTTGCCCATTCACCTCCCAAAACCCCCTTCTACAAGCTCCCCAGGCTGTGTAAGGTCTAATCTGTGGAAACCCTTGAAAAGGTCAAAGACTTTACCAAACAGAAAGCAATGGAAAGGTGGGAGAAGGCTGTGCTTCCTTTGCCCCACCATCAAATGACATTAAAAAAAAAAAATAGGGGCAGCTAAGTGGCACAGTGGATAGAGCACTATCCCTGAAGTCAGGAGGACCTGAGTTCAAATGCGGCCTCAGACCAAACACTTGACATGTACTAGCTGTGTGACCCTGGGCAAGTCACTTAACCCCAATTGCCTAAAAAAAAGAAAAAAAACTTCTAGCTCAGAGTTCTCAGGACTTGTCTCCTTAGCACTGACCCAACAGCCCCCTTTGTCTGGATCTCTGGGGCCATGGGGATTTGGAGAGCTGCCCCAGCTGCTGTCATCCATTGGAAGAGCAAGTCTCAGACCCAGGCTATGGCTGCTTGCAAACTGCCATAGTTTAGAGTGCTAAAGTCTTCTGTCTTGTCACAATAGCTGACGGCTTCCTGTGACCTGTATGGTCTACAGAGAAAGGGGGAAAAAAAAACACCTCTCCATGACCATCAGGGAAAAGAAAGCAGGTTTCTAAAACAACAACAAAAAATTAAAACAAAAAAATTGTGGCAGTGCTCAAAATCTTGCTCTGTCCTGTCTTGTCAAGCAGCTTCCTGTTCGAAACTCTCTGTCTGCCTGTCTCTGTCTCTCCCTGTTGGTCTCTCTTTTTCGGTCTGTCTCTGTCTCTCTGTCTCTGTCTCTGTCTCTCTCTGTGTCTTTCTCCCTAGGCATGGTAATTACTAGAAACTAGGCTATCAGTAAGAACAGGAAGGACCACTGTTATTCCTTTCTTCTTCCATAGTAATGGTGGGGAAATGAATTAGGACAGAGAACCATTATTTTTAGATGGCCTAAAAACTGTGACTGTTGGAATTCTTCAATGACTAATGAATGAACATATTACTAAATCATATCAATATTGACATTCTTCCTCTGAATGAAGCCAGAAGACAAAAGAATAGCTAAATGGAAAGATGGCTCATAGGTTATCCTTCAAACATCAAATAAAGGAGTTAGCAGACTTGTTTTTATTATATCTCCAAAGAAAACAAAAAGACATCATTTCATAGGATATCATCTCTTATTGCAGTGCTTCTATGAAATGCATTTGCAAAAGACCATCATGAAGATATTTGTAGAATATGCTTCTACATGTCTTGAAGAGGATGAGATAGGAAATGTTACAAAGAACTCAGTAGAATCCTCCAAACTAATTCAAAATATACTTTAATTCTTGGTGACTTCATGACAGAGGCAGGCATAAGGTACGACAGTGAAAAATATGTTAGAACACATGACTCAAGATTAAGAAATAACAGAGGCTAATAGGCTAAAAAAAACACACCTATATGTCATAAATCTTTTCTTCAAGGAGAGAATCTGGAGACAGTGAATAAAGTGAGCATTGAATAACATCACAAAAAAAATGAAACTATCTTAACAGATAGGAAATGACTATTAATCAACATGGGAATCATTTCCAAATTAGCTGTCTATGTGCAGACTATCAATTCTTGTCAGAATAAATGTAAAAATGAATACCAAATTAGAAGAAAAAATAGAAACAATATATATGGCATTAAATTAAAGCAGCTCCAAAGGAACCTGAACAAAATCTTCATGCTAAAATCTTGGAAATGGATGAAAGAATAAACATTTACACAAATTAATACGATTCCCTATATTAATACTATTTGAGAAAGAGGGAATCCTCAGCTGAGTGAACACAAAAAAAATGCATGAACCAACTTTAGTTTATGTAAATCAATCATCACAAGAAGGAAGTCAAAAGAGCCTAAAAACCACCTTAGCCAGCAAGAACTCAATCTCTTGCCAAGGAGGTGACTACCAAGGCCAACACCAGTTTAAAAGTATAACTCCATTGATACAAATCTTATTTAAGAGGACAGAATAAGATTATGAACATTAAACAGCAAGAAGCAGTGGAAAGAAAAACAAGATTACAGAAACCCAAGTAAGCCCCATCATGCAAAGAACGTGGCACTAGAGAAGGCAAAGAGAAGAGGAGCAAATGGCTTAGAATATGAGGGATTATACAATAACTCAGTATTCACACTAGGGGAAGAGAAAAGGAGAAAACTCCATGTGTAAGACCTACATGTCCAGATGAAATTTATTAAAGAATATTCTGGACAGACAACCAAGGCCTCAGGAGGGCTAGAGATGGGAACTGGGTGCTGCAGTCCTCCAAATCTGCATCCACATTGGAGTGACATTGCTCCCTAGAAGGCTTCCCAGCTTTCTTCTTTAGTACTGGAAAAATCCCAACTCAGATTGTGTTAGTGAATCCTCCTCCCTCCTTTTTTGGGATTTCAAGATGGAGATTAGTGAGGAGTAAAATGTGATATTGCCTCTGCTTCCAAGTTGATACTTGTATTTAAGTGATTGAGAAGAATGAGAACATAGGACTAGAATGTTTCCTAGCATGCTAACGTTGGCTAACAAGGTGTCGCGGGGCCATATCTATGAAGCTAGAGAGAAAGAGGGAATCATCACTTGAGTGAAAGCAAAAGAATACAGAGATCAATTAAAGCTACAGTGCTATACAGAATAGTAGAAATAGGGGCTAGACCCATAATTTCATTGATATAGGGAACTTCCCAAGTGAAGAAACTCCCATTACCAATGCAGTTTGGCATTTCAACTTACAGCCTTGGAGTTACCTGAGAGGTCAAGTGACTAAGTGTCCAGGGTCACATTGCCAGTATGGCACAGTCAAGACTTCTTGGCTTTAAAGTGAGCTCTCCATTCACTAACCCATGTTACCTCTCCTATAGAATGTTGTTGTTCAGGTGTGTCCATGGCCATAGTGCCCATGGAGTTTTCTTGGTGAAGATCATGGAGTGGTTTCCTTCTCCAGTTTTATGCAAGCAGGGGTAAGTGACTTGCCCAGGATCACACAGCTAGTAAGTGTCTGAGGTCACATTTGAACCCAGGTCTTCCTGACTCCAGGCCCAATGCTCTATTGACTGGCTACCGAGCTGCCCCTCATACAGAACAGCAGCTACCTCTAAATATTTGGCTGTTTCTCAGGAGGATGATCTTGGATTGTTTTTTCAAGTGAGAATCCAAGTCTTTCCAACAGAAGTGTGCATAGCTTTTTCTCTTGAAATTATACATGAATGTTAACTCAGACTCTTTCAGAGGTTCCCAAATTGGGGGATACCACCCCCTGGGGAGGGCATTGGAATGATGGGGGGGGAGGCGGTAGCCTCAGGTGCAGTTGAGGGACATCGAATAAAAATAAGGGAGCAGTGGAAGCATAAGGAAAGAAGAAAATTTTGAAAAACTGTTAGTACATGTTTCACCTGTTGTGTAACAGAGTTAAAGTCATAGTGATTACCTTATTTTCTAAATAAACACACAAAATGCAAGTTACAACCCATCAGTGGTCAAATCCGCCCACAGGGGTTAACAAACAAGTGTTGACAGGCGAACCTGTCACACATTGTCAAGAAGTCCAGCATGCATTGGCAGGAATATGTGTGTGTAATGACTTGTTTACAATATGATATTATATGGTTATATTATGCAATATTGCATCACCAAAATTTCAATGCAGGAAAAAATCCCACAAATTTACAATAAATTACTAAATTTAAGATGTATCATTTAAAAAAATTTTTGTATTTTTTGAAATGATGCAAATTTCATAATAATCACTAAAGGGTTAAAGAAAGTAGATTTTCAGGAGGGTACTGAATAATTTTTTTTTAAAGGGGGCAGTAGGCCAAATAAGTTTGGGAACCTCTGCTCTAAGAGAAAGGAAAATAAGTTTATAATATACAAAAATCCTAACAAAGGTTTGAAAAAAAACCCTCAATTATGAACACAGCTATGTATAAATGTATATATATTTTCTAGCAAGCAATATCAACTAATACATATTCTCGTGAAGAAAGATGACATTTGCAGCTACAAAATTTTAAGAAGCAAACATTCTTATACATAAGAGGGGGTCACAGAAGCCAAAAATATGAAATAATTTGTCATGTCAGTTTTAGGGGCCCTAAGACACCCAGCTAAATTACCAATAATACTTCAGAGAAGGGGGAAGTAGTCAACAGCTAGTGGAAAAAGTGCTCTGTGTGATCTCAACCTCTCTGGGCCTCCACTTCCTCATCTGTAATAAGAGTAGGTTGGACTAGACCACGGGATGGGAAGAGACCAAAGTTCCATCCAGTCTTCAATCCTATGCTAGGCACCTTTACTGGCACACAGGGGAGGCTGCCATAGGCAGGGCAGCACCTCTGAGGACCTGGGCAGTGGGCTAGACAGGTACTGCCTGTATTCGCCTTTTGATACTGAGGGGATCCTGGGAAGGCTTCTCTGAAGACCGCCTAGCCACTTGATGGACCACAGTGGGTAGGACAGAGAAGATAGCCTCACTAGCCTCACCCTGAAGTGCCTGGAAGTCATGGATCTTGATTACTAGGCTGGCACGAGGGTCACATTATTTAAGAAGACAGAAAAAGCTTATCAGCATAAAACAAGAAAAAGTGGAAGGAAGAGCAAGATTACAGAAAGCTTGGTGAGAAACCCAATTAAACCTCATCATTCGAAGATCATGGCACGAGAGAAAACACAGATAATCGGAACAGCTGTCTTAGAAACTGCAATGCAGATTTATAGCATGAAAACCACCATACCCAAACACACATAAAGGGAAGTCCAAGAAGAGGTTTGTGTTCGCCTTATGTGCCTCCTTAAGGTCTTAGCAATCACTCTGTGTCCCTTATCTGAGTCTCTCTGACGCCTGAGAGTAAGGGGGGGAATGGAAAGGGGGATGGGAAGGTAAGGGATTGAACAGTTGAGGTGAGAGGAAAGGACAGTCCCCACTGATTGGTGGTAATAGAAGGCATGCCTTCTCTGTGGTTGCTAAGTAACAGATGTAAACAATAGCAACTGTGGGATCATGGCTTCTAACTACAGTGCTAATCAGGTAATCTTTTTTTCTTTTATTGCTTCCCTGTCTCTTCATAACCCAGTATGAATCTGCTTCTCCTCTAAGCCTTCATTACATCCCCCAAGACAGACAATCAGATGGACTCCCATGTCTGCAGACACCGTGCCTCATTTACCTGCTCCTTCTCAGTGGGCATTTGCAGGCAAGTGGGGTGAGTGTCTCAGCTCTCCAGGGCTGAGACCTCAGGGTTGAGCATTTTACACCACAGACACAGGAGCTTCTCTCTGCAGTTTAAGGGAAGGGGGGGAACTCTACTAGGAGTTTAAAGGCCTGAGTTCTAGTCCTAGCTCTATTACTAACTGTGATCCTGGGCACACCATTTCTTTTATGCCTCAGTTTACTACTTAAGTGCAAAATAAAGGGATTGGGTTATCTCACCTCTAAATTTTTAAGATTCGATGCCTGTTACATGCCTTGATTTTTGGGTTCCAGTGAGGCTTTCTGCCCCAGAGTGGTATCTGTAACCCTGTGTTTTCTGGGTCTGGGGTTTCTAGGCATAGGGTCCTATGACCAAATCAATGAACAAACATTTGCCAAGTGCCTGTCTGCTAGACATTATACTAAGTGCTAGGGATATAATTAAACATTCAAAAATGAGACAGTTCGTGTCCTTAAGAAACTTACATTTTTCCATAGTTTGAAAATTCCTTTGCCCCGAACTATCTTCGGAACTGGTGCATAGCCAAAGACGACAAAAAGGTACCTCCTCTTCTTCTTCTCTCCCTCCCCATTCCTTCCCTACTGCATGAATTTATACCTCTCCTCGATCACCTCTTCATTCCATTTCCCAAGGACTCTTCACTCCTCCTCATGTCTCTTCAAGTTTTTCATCACCTTTAATTCTGGTGAACTCTTCTGGCCAATTTTCATTTCTTCCACTTTCTACTTCCTTGACTATCATACTTCCTGGCTTTCTCTCCAGCGCCCTGAAACCCACGATGGCTACACTCAGATCATCGCTAATGATCGTGGTCATCTGCTACCTTCAGTTCCCAGGTCCAAGGTAAGATACCTTATTCCTGCAGAGTGGCCTTCTATGCTCCTCAACTTACTACCCTGAGGACCGGGAGTCATTTAAATTGCACCGTAAAATGAGTGCTCCCCAACTCCTCAATTAGTTACTCCAACTCAAGAATCTAAGTATAATCAATGGCTAACACCCAAGTGACCCCTGTAGAGCTTAAAGGCTAAAGAAAATGGAGAATCAACAGGGAGCTTAAGCATGGGTTATTTATAAAGAGACTGATTTAGGGTGTGGTGGGGAGTTCTAATATGTTGAATCACTTCAAATTTAAACTTAAGCCACTAGACACATAACGGAGGAAGGAACTAGTGATTGCCAGATCCTATTAGTGTGTATGTATCGTGAAGGGGTAGATGTCCAATTTAGGGTGAAATTATGGTTTCTTTTTCCTTTAAAATTTTAACTTTTTTTTCATTAATAAGAATTTCTCTTCATCCCACCTCACTTCCCAGTCCTCCCCCTTTGGGGGAAATTAAAATACAAAATCCTCATAACAAGTATGCATTATCAAGCAAAACAAATTCTTACACTGGCCACGTCAAAAAAAGTTTCATTCTGCATCAAGTTCATTTCCTGTCAGGAGGTAGATAGCATGTTTCATCACTAGTCTTCTGGAATTGTTAACCTGGGGTTTCTAGTGCTAAGAGATGAAGGTGAGGTGGGTGCAGGAGGAGTCAGAGAAAAAGCCCCTGCATGTAGGTCACAGTAAATGGCTAACTTTGTTCCTTTCCTTGCAGACCAGTCCCTGGGGCACATTCATGGGTACCTGGCAAATGCCTCTGCAGATACCACCAGCTCGAATAACCCTGACTTCTCGTTCCACTGCTGCTGCCAACCGACTAATAAACTGGGTGCAGAAAAACCCCGATCTACTCAATGCTTCCAATGGACTACGTCCAGAAATCCGGGGACATGTACTTATACCAAGTCTTCTTGACCCATCCTTTTTTTTTCACATCCTTGGGCCCAGCAGGGGGAGCCTTTAGATAACTCCGATTCATCCTGTCCTAGTCCTATCCATCTACTGCCCAGTTCCGAATTCAATTCAGCAAGGCTGACTACCACTGTGCTTTAGGCACTGAAATATCAATCAACATAAGGCTGGATTCCTGCCTCACAGCAGCTTAGCTTAGCAGGGGAGATGAGACATGTGCAAAATAACTGTAATATACAAAGTGTAATAAGATAAATATGTGAGATAAAAAGTGCTATGAGCTCACAGTAGAGAGCCATCCTCTTGAGAAAACAGCTTCAAAAGCACTGAGCTGGGCATTGAGGAACAAATATTTGAGCAGATATGGAAGGAGGGCTCCAGGCCAAGGATTATGTTTCAGGAAACTTAAGTAGTCCAATTTGACTTGTGCTGGGTGTATGAAAAGGGGATAATGTGAAAAGAAAGAAAAAAGACTAGAAAGGTAGATTTGGTTGTGGAGGTCAATGAATGCCAAAATAAGTAATTTGGCTTTATTCTGTAGGCAGAGAGTCACTGAAGATTTTTGAGAAAGGCAATATTATCAAAGCTATGCATTAGAAATACAAATTTGGCAGCCATGTGAAGGATTAAGGAAAAAACAAGAATTAGGAAAGGAGGCTATGGCAAGAGATTCTGAGGTCCCAAAATAGTGATTGTGAAAATGAGATATTGTGGAAGCAGAAAATCTAACCTTATAAGACCTGAGTCCAAGCCCTGATTCTGCCACTTACTGGCTCTGTAACCTTTAAATGAGATCCCAAAATAGAGTGATCATGGAAATGAAGGATGTGAGGGACACAGAACAGCGAATCAAACCTTTGAAGACCCGAGTCCAAGTCCTGATTCTGCCACTTACTAGCTTGCTAACCTTGGGCAAATCACCTGGTTTCTCTGGACCTCAGTTTCCCCACCTGTAAAATGAAGGGGTGGTACTAGATGATATCTAAGATCCAATTTGGATTTAATATCGATTCTTAGCCAAGGTGGATGGTCATACTGTTCATTCAAATATGGAAGAACAGTAATAAACTTGGGAATTTAGATGATTTGGACATTGGATAGCTCAAGTTTGAGATATCAATACTTTTAGGTGGAAATGCCCAGTAGATAGTTGTCAATATGGGTTTGAAGCTTTGACTAGCAGAGGCAGGCTAAAACAGGGTGGTGGAAGCAATAATAGGGGCTGGTCTAATCTCAAAGGAGGGTGAGGCACAATGGACCTTAACTGGCCACAGGATGAGTCTGATCCACCAAACTATTGTTATCCCACAGCCCCAAGATTCAGGACCACACAGAAACGGGAGCCCAAAGCCCCCAGAGAAGACTACTACTCCAAAGGCTGTACAAGAGATTCCGCAACCCTCGAAACCCTCTTCAGTCGTAAATTCCCCACCCTCAAGAGGCCTCCCCAAGGCCTCCCCAGCCCCACTTCCACCCCCAAATCGAATCCGTTCATGCTCATGCTCCTGCTCCAGCTCCAGAGCTTCAAGAACTGCACCCAACAGTCCTGTGACTCCAGAGGCCTGCCATAGTCCTAATGAGCCTGAGGGCCAAGAAATCCAAGAGAGGAATATGGAAAATTCTAATGAGGAACCCCAGCAGGAGTCGGAGGCACGAGCCCCACTGAGTCCCAAGGAGATAATGGAGTGAACCTAATTCTGCTTCAGGAATGTCAAACAAGTTTATATGGGGTGTGGATAAATGAAAATTTTAAAAATAAAATGTGAAGTTTTCTTCTGATCTGGGTCTTCCCCTCCTTCTGTATTTGCCATTTCTAATACAGGTGGGAGGAAGGAAGGAATCTCAGTAGCACAGGGTTCTAGCTTTAACTGGGCCAGGCTAGGGAAGCACGAGATTCCAGAGGGAAAGATAAGTCCAGTTGCTCTAGAATTAAAAACAAACAAACGAACAAAAAAACACCCACAAGTTCTGGATCACATAGTGTAGCTTCAGGTCAAGAAGTGATTTAATACCATAAAAGTATTCATGATGTACCTTTGTAACTAAATCATAAGGGAAGATAGTAAGAACATTTAATCTGTCCTTGCAGAACTTAAAATCTAATGGTGTAGGGGCAGCCAGGTGGCGCAGTGGATACAGCTCCAGCCTTGGAGTGAGGAGGACCTGAGTTCAAATCTGGCTTCAGATACCTGACACTTACTAGCTGTGTGACCCTGGGCAAATCATTTAACTGCAACTGCCTCACCAAAAGTGGGAAAAAAAAAAACAAAAAAAAAACTAAGGGTGTAGACAGTGCACATATAGAAAAATAACAGTAATACTCATCACTACAAAATAATGTAAATACTAAGTGCTCAGGAAAAAGGGAAGTAAAAGAGGAGATATCGAATAACAGTAACAATTACTCAACTCATACCTCGTAAAATAATGCAATGAATCTGTAATCTCAATGTGGGCATTCCCTCTAACAATAAATTGCAATCAAGCCATGTGTTCTCATAAATTCACCACTGGAGATTCATCCAACGTGAAAAGGGTCTTTTCTTTTTTGACATCAAGATGCCATCACTGGTACATATAGGCTACCATATAAGGTAAGTCCTTATATTCACCATGTGGCCAGCCTATCTTTTCTTCCTAATTTCTTTGAAGACATCTCAATCAAATGGGAAGTTAAAATCCACAAGAGCCAAAGGCACTAGTTGATTAACTCAGGCTAGAGGAAAAAAAGTACCTTCAGCATTCTGCCATGATAGTTTGGCTAAGTATAGTATCTCATAAGGTCCTGGCTAGAATAGTTCAGGACAGATTTTCAGGAGTTGAGACATAAAAATGCTGAAGGAACAGAACTCCACTGATATTATCTCAGATATATCACCTAATTACCATCCTTGAAGCCCTATCAAATCAACAAGCATTTATTATGAACTATGTGACATACACCAGACAAAATGGTATAATCTATCACCCCTACAACCTATTTGGCTAGTAGCTCCAATCTCCCTTGATGAGGATCAAAAACAGAATATTTCTAAAGCTCACCCATGAGCAGTGAGTGTTCACCAGAAAAAGTCTTCTTAAAATATAAGGAATTAAAAAGATCAAAGAAAAGGGGATAGGACATATTTATGCAAAAATATTTGTAGCAGCTCTTTCTGTGGTGGCAAAGAATTGGAAATTGAGAGGATGCCCATCAGTTGGGAAATGGCTGAACAAATTGTGGTATATGATTGTGATGGAATACTACTGTGCTGTAAGAAATGATGAACAGGAAGCAGCTAGGTGGTGCAGTGGATAGAGCACCAGCCCCGAAGTCAGGAGGACCTGAGTTCAAATCCAGCCTCAGACCAAACACTTGACACTTACTAGCTGTATGACCCTGAGCCAAGTCACTTAACCCCAGCTGCCTTTAAAAAAAAAGAAAGAAAAGAAAAAAGAAAAAAAAAAGAAATGATGAACAGGATGGTTTCAGAAAAACCTCTGAGGACTTACATGAACTGCAAAGTGAAGTAAGCAGAACCAGGAGTACATTCTACACAGCAATAGCAATATTGGAAGGATAATTAACTGTGAAAGATTTAGCTACCCTGATCAAGACAATTCCAAAGGATCCATGATAAAAAAAAATGCTATCTATAACCAGAAAGAGAACTGATGAGCTTTGAATACAGATTGAAGCATACCTTTTTTTACTTTTATTTTTTGTTTGTTTTCTTTTGCAACATGGCTTATGTGGAAATAGATTTTGCTTGACTTCACATGCATATCTGCTAACAAAAATTGCTTTTTCAAGGATGGGGGAGACATGTGAGGGAGGGAGGGAGAGAATCTGGGACTCAAAATTAAAAAAAAAAAGATTGCTAAAAATTGTTTTACATGTAATTGGGAAACATTTAATGAAATAAATAAAAATATATTCAAAATTCAGGGAACTAGGGCTAACCTGACTTTCCAGATACGTAAGGTGAAAATTTTCCCCACTATAATTCCTTATCTAGATCTTTAGTTCCTCCTCTCTTCTCCCAAAAGTCTGTGCTCTGTGCTCTCAGCTCTCCACTTCCTTCAGGCCCCTGTCCAATTCTCTGGATGAGGGATAACTCTTCAATAGAGGTTGGAGGCCTGTAGCAAACTGGAATTCTTTTCTATTTCCCTTCAATACTTGGAGTTGCATGCTGCATGAGATTTAATATCACGCTGTACCTTTTTTCATGCAATGTGAAACTCTTCACAGAACAAATGCTTCCTGGCTGGAGGGTAGAGATAGTTGGCACCTCCCCAGTCCTTATTCCTTATATCTAGATCTCAAGGAGAAAAACAGACAGGGTGGGTAATTTACATTTAATTACAGAAAAAGATGTCACATGAATTTTTATTGGAAAATATGAAATTAAGAGATTTATTTTTCTCAAAGTGCCAGGAAAAGAGAGAACTCCAAATGTGTTGACTGAGAATCTTCCGAATCCTTTCCTGGGCCAGGAGAGCTGTCTGCCCTCCCCCCACAAAACATCTGCAGCCTCCAGGCAGCCAACTCACCCTCCTTCCTTCTCTCCCTGCACCCACCCAGATAGGCTGGTTCCCTTTTCTCTCAAAGTGTGGGTGGTTTAGGACTCTGGGCCACTTCCAATGGGCAGCCTTGTCCTTTAAGCCAGCAGCCCACGGCCACTGGCACTCAAAGCCTTTCTCCCCAACCCTAAGGCAGAGGCCACAGAGATGGCATTGTTTTTACTGCCTCAGGATTGGGCAGCCAACAGCTGACCCTTAGTACAAGTCAAAACCCAATGTGGAGAGAGGCTGAAGAGGCCTGAGGAAAGAGGATAAACCCACAGAAAGAAAGGTAGTTGGAAGGGGTGGGAGGGCAGGGAGAGGAGAAGAGGAAGAGTTGGAGGAGCCTTATCATGCAGCTTTCTTTAGGGAGGAGAGTTTTGGAACTTCTCCCACAGCTCCAATACTCATGACCCAGACCCAAACTTTATACAAACTTTTATGTTCTTCAAACATACTGAGATCTAAGCAAAACAGAAGGGTTCTGCCCTGGCCTGAAGGAAAGGGTTGCTGAAGGAAAGGGAGAAGGAAAACTCGATCCTTCATCTTATCGGAGGAGATGGGAGATATATTATCCCCTTACATGGCTGCTAGACCCACAGAGGACAACACAGTAAGAACCAAGACAACTACTCCAGACTGGTAGAGCTGAGGAATCTTCAGGCCCTTTCCTAGGTCCCACATCTACAAAGAAAAAGACAAAAAAAGAAACTAAGCAATCAGAAGGATTAGTAAATCATAATTTTAAAAACAATCAGAAGAATTAGTAAAATCAAAATTTTGAAAACTGGCCACATTCTAACATCAGTTAGAAACAATGACTTCTGTAATAAAATACTGGCCAAGCTAGGCAAAAAGAAGTCAAATGGAAACCTTTGGCAAATAGGGTTCCTGACCATATCATTATTGTCGTTTATCTTCATTTTCAAAGAGGATCAATAACATCACTGGGTGATGTCTTGACTCTTGAGTGAACTGGATTTAAGTGAGGCAGAGCTGCATAAAGTCATCAGCTTCACTCTCTTTTCCAGAGTCATCTAAGTCCAGTGGCAAGACAAAAGTAGGGACAACTGGCAATGGCCCAGGATTCAGTAAATGACCTTGGCATCTTCGATGTCTGACCAATCTCTAAGTGCTCCACAGTACCTGCTTCAGCTGCCTTCATGGTCAATGGAATAAATTGTTCTCATCTGCCCATTTTGCTGGGGGAAGTCTTCACATGCTTGAGGTTGACAGCCCCCTAATTCACCAACAGGTTTGAGGCCTATCAGTTACCCTCAACCTGGTTTTGTCCATCTGCTGAGGTGGTTTTACCCGGGTGTGGCCACTGCACATGCTACAGCTTTTTGGAGCCACAGGTGAGAGTTGGGTCAATCAGGTGGACATATCAAAGGCCTGAAAAAGTCTCAATAAGCCCTCACCCCAGAAGTGCTAGTCCTCCCTTAACACCCCCTATAGTCCCATATGACCATATCATAAACCCAGACAGCAGAGTTCATTTCTCATCTCCTAGAATGACCAGAAACCTATCTACCCATCCTCTAGTAAGCCACCCTCAAAACCCACAGGGGCCAACCTTAAGGATCTTTAGTTCCAAGCTGAACAACTTAGTGCCTAACCACAACAGAACCACTCATTTGCATGAAAACAAAAATAGACTGCTGATAAGAAGCCCCAGCATATACCTAAGGGCAGGCCTGCACAACATACAGACAGAGGGTCCACCAAAGGATTTCAGGCAGCCTTTGAAAAATGTAGACGATACAAAAGAAAGTAAAGACATAACAGGTGCTTTGTCCATGCTTCTCTTAACCCACCTTCCACTAGTCACTATCGTGCCTGTCACATAACTTGGCAGGTGGGCTGCCACTGAGCACTCTCTCCTGTTTGTCATGTGACTTGCAGCAACCAATCATCTTTGGTCTGTCTCTAGTTACCTTTACCTGGAAAGCGAGCCTCTAAAAACCTATCTGCGGCTTGAAGAAGTTTAGTCTATTTTAATTTTGGCCCCTACGTACTGCAAAGTTGTGCAGGTCTGCCATACTCTGAAGTAGATAGGCACTATCCTCGCTAAATGACAGAGATGGATCATTCAATAGAGAAAAGTTGGAGAGAGCTCAGATAAAGGAACCAAGAAGAGGGCAGCAGGACTGCATGCACATGGACGTCCTAGCAGAGCACAATGCCTGTGGGGCTGTGAAGTAGCAAAGGAAAATCCCGTCCCAATCTCAGACCTG